AGAATGACATGAGACATCCTTGCTTCTCTTTTTGGTTGCTGTTTGCTAGCATTTGAGTTCTTTGGAAGATGACACAGGTGTCCTGGATTTGCTGCTAGGTGTTTGGGGTCATTGCATTAACTGCCTGTTTTGATCAGAGGAGAGTTTAAAAGTGATGATGGTCAAGATATATTGGGATGAGGTGGGAGACCAAGGAGCCATGTGGTCCTAACATTTACTTAGGCCCATGTGATTGGGGACTAGGGCCTAGCTGCATATTGGTTGAAGCCAGCAGTTGGCTCCCTTTGTCTGTTGCCCTCAAGGCTATCTTGTTGCCAATTTGTGGCACACATGTACTTCATACTATGGGGAACGTGGAACAAACCAGAGACAGACCTGGGCTTGACCAGACCCAGGTGGAAAGGACCATGTACATGCCATAAGTGTCCACTATACTGTCCTGGTACCTAATGAGGAGGACACTAGGAGTATGGGCTGGGGTGGGGCAGGCCTCCAAGAGGAAGGACAACTGGACTGAGTTTTAATCTGAGGGTGTAGCTCAGTGGTAAAGTGCTTGCCTACCATGCATGAGGCCCTGGATTTGATCCCTAGCACTGCAAAAATAGTAAATAAAGGAAAAGGAGTCAGAGTAAGAATTCCATAGAGCGAACAACTTGTGCAAAGACCCAGAGAAAGGAGTGTAACTAACATATTGTGGAACTGAGAATAGGCCGGGGGTTGGGAAATGCCGTGAGCACAGAATACCTGTGAGAGGATAGGAAATGACACAATAGAGACAGTGAAGATAGACCAAGGACACTCTCCAAGCGTACCTGTAGTCCCAGCACTCAGGAGGCTGAGGCAGAAGGATCACTTGAGCTCAGAAGTTCAAAACCAGCCTGGGCAACATAGTGAGACTCTGTCTCAAAACAACAGAAAGACCAAGGCAATTCTGAGCAGCCTTAAACACCATGCCAAAACATTTGAACTATATTTTAGGCTTTGGGAATTTCATTAACATCATAGAGCTCGAAATGTTGAGATTGGGGGAGTGATGTGTTATGGGAAGAGAATTTGGCTGGGAGGGGTAAATTCAAAGGGTGATTGGTCAAACTCATTTTAGCTGGTACAGTGGTGCAAGCCTATAATCCCACCCTTGGGAGGCTGAAGCAGGAGGATTGCAAGCTGCAGGCCAGCATGGGTAACTTAGCAAGAAAGACCTTGTCTCAAAATCAAATTTAAAGATTCCAGGTGCGATGGCACACCAGTGGCTTGGGAGGCTGAGGCAGGGGGAATTACAAATTCAAGGCCAGTCTAGGCAATTTAGCAAGGCCCTACACAACTTAGCAAGACTTGTCTCTAAATAAAATATTTTAAAAGGACCTGGGGATGTGGCTCAGTGGTAGAGTATCCCTGGGTAAAGTAACCCAGAACTAGAAGAAAAACATTTTCATCAAAGTAGCATATGGTTTAAATGTCGAAAGTGCTAGAAATAATTTCCCTGGTAGTGGATGGAGCTCCTCTATCCAGCAATTGTTTCCCTGGGCCCACTATTAAAAAGATTGATTATACTGTCTGTATACTGGTGTAGCATGGGTTCCGCACAGCAAAACACTAAAGGACTCAAATTTGTGGCAAATTCTGAGGCAGATTTAAAGTTGAGCTGTTGGCTGCTGTATAGTAAATTCCTGGGCATTCTCAGAAATTGAAAATGGAATGTACACAGGGGACAGAAATACCATCACACCTTATAAGCACTGTATTGTAAGTGGAAGATGCATCATCTTAAAACTATATTTTAAGGGCTAGAGTTGTGATTTAGTGGTAGAGTGCTTGCCTAGCACATGTGAGGCCCTGGGTTCGATCCTCAGCACCACATATAAATAAATAAAATAAAAGTATATGTCCACCTACAACTTAATTTTTTTAAAAACTATATTTTAAATTGACATACACCCCCCAAAAAAGGACTAAAAGTCTTTTATTTAAAAAAAAAAAAAAGGTCTGTAGGTCAGAGGTAATATTTTGGGTTTTTTCCTGGTATGTATTCTCTCTACTCTAAATAATAGTCTTATAATTTTTTTAGGTGAGACATTTTCATAATTTTTGGATGACTTGGTATCTATATTATAATAACATAAAAATTGTTCATTGCCAAGATGAATGTACTATAATTACGATTACATTTCCCTTTTTCTTTAACTTATATTTTTTCTTCAAGTTAATGCTTATTATGGGGGTGGGATGAGGGGTGGAGGAGGGTTTTTTCTTTCTAACCAGTAATCACCAGTTGTATCCAGGTCTGCTGTGGACCCCTGGGTATTCTTTCCAGGGTCACTCCATCTTCGCCATCCTCCACAGCACTCTGTACCCACCAGGTTCCTGCAGGCCCTTCGCCCCATCCCTTCCTCCCCTCCGCATTCTGCTATGGACCCCTAAGTTCCACAGTAACTGCCTCTGAGTTCTCTCACTTGCATGGAGCACATTCTTCAAAGCTTCCCAAGAAAGTGCATGGATAGCCAGGTTTTCCGGTCCTTATGCATCTGAAGACATTATTATTCTGTCCCCATGCTTAACTGATATGGGTATTGTTTCATGTGCTGGATGTAGAATTCTAGGCTGAGAACATTTTCTTTTTGACACTTGGAGGCATTGCTCTATCATCTTTTAGCTTGAAAAGTCTACGATGTTCCCAGTCATAGTTCTTCATATATGACTTTTTTTTTTTTTTCCTTTCTAGAAACTTTTAGGAGCTTTACTATCCCTGGTGTGTCTTAGTGTTTGAACCTTTTTTTTTTTTTTTAATCTATTGTGTTTTGCATCAAGTGCCTTTTCAATGTGAAATGCCTGTTTGTTCAGTTCTAGAAATTTACTTATGTGTCTAATAATTTCCTACCTTTTTTATTTTTTCTGCTTTATCAGAAATTTGATCTCATGTTTTCTCCCCTATTTTCCATCTTTTAATCTGTTCTACTCTCTGTAAGATTTCCTTGACTTATTTTTTTACCTTCTTTTGAAGGTCTGTTTGATTTTTTTAATTCAATTTTTTTTCCTATTCATTTTTCATAGCATCTTTTTTTTTTTTTCCTTTCTTTCTTATGAGTGCTGAGATTGAACCCAGGGCTTTGCATGTGCTAGGCAAGAACTCTACTACTGAACTATACCTCAATCTCTAGCATCCTATTTTTTTATGATACAGATCTCTTATCTCTGAAGTAGAGTTTGAGGGCATGTTTTGCTTTCTCCTGCTCCCCACATTTCTCTGCTATTCCTGTATACTTCTGTGTCCCTTAAGAGTGACACACGGAAATGCCATTTGTTGTGATGTGCAGGGAAAAAGTGAGATGACCTACAGGACTTAGGGTTAGTAATAGGACAGCAGGCCTACCTCCACCCACCAAATGTAACTGTAGGTCTTTTCTTGGGGCCTCTCAGGTCAGTTCCTCAAGACAGTGGTTGAACCTCAAATGTCCTGTCACAAAGGCCTGAGCATTAGAGTTAGGGGTACTAACTGGTCCAGTCAGTCAGATACAAACTTTACACCAGTTCCTGTTTTCAGCCTCATCCACCCTTTCTGCAGGAGCCTGCCTCCAGGTCATGAGTTCATCCCAAACAGGTTGCAACTTCTACTTCCAAAAAGAAATCAGAACAACTTTATATATGCCCTGCATCTTGAAAACTATGTTAATATCCCTCTTATATGCTTACCCCATTTACTGTACTTCTAGTTTCAGAAGGAAGAAAAGGTCTGCCTGTGCACATACTCAGCCTTAGTTAACTGGAATGGACTACCCTTCTCTGACATTGCATGTTGCTTTCTTGTTTCTTGTCTTTTTTTTTTTTTTTTTTTTTGGTAGTAGGGATTAAACTCAGGGGCATTTTACCACTGAGCTTAATCCTCAGCCCCCCCACCCCCCCACCCCCCCCCCCCTTTTTTTTTTTTTTTTTTTTGAGACACAGTCTCCAAGTGCTAATAAGTTGCTGAGCTTGGCCTTGAACTTTCAATGCTCCCACCTCAGCCTCCTGAGTCACTGGGGTTATATGTGCACCACCATGCCTGGGCACTACTTTCTTTATAAACTGTTCTCTCAGCTCTAAGTAATAGGATGATAGTTGAGGATTGGGGTTTTTTGTTTGTTTGGTTTTTGGTTGAGTTGACCCCAAATGTATTTTAAAATTTTATTAGTCTGTGAAATCTAAAACCCGGCAGCAGAGGCTGGGGTTGTAGCTCAGTGGTAGAATGTTTGTTATAGCCCTGGGTCCATCTCCAGTACCACTAATCATACAGACAGATAAGTAAGTAAAATCAAGCAGGGTTTTTTGGTTTTTGGGAGGTTTTTTTGTGTATGTATGTGTGTGTATATATATATATATATATATATATATATATATATATATATATACACACACACACACACACACATATATACACATACACACACATACATACATTCATACATACATACATACATACATACATTCTTGACTTTGAAGGGAGGGACATAGATGGGACAGAGGCCAGATGACATAGGAGAGGGAAAAGTGTTTTTTTTGTTTGTTTGTTTGTTTTTTCTTACCAAGCTCAGAGAAACTTGAGATCAGGCAGGAAAAGTGGTGTATTAGACAGGTAGTATAGCAGAATATCAAAGAAGAGTAACGGTGGCCTGTTCCCAGAAGAAGGTGGTAGTGGGAGGAGAGGGCCAGCAAGTGGGGAGGATGTACACCTGATGGGCCTATACTTCCTAAAGATGGAGGCAGACACAGTTCTCAGGGCAAGCTGTAGAGGCCCTGCCCTGAGGCATGTTTCCACAATTTCTCCAGACTTTTCTTTCCAGAGAGTCTGTTTTGGAAAATTAAAATGGAGTGAGAAAAGAGATTATCTGTGCCTGAAAATTGGGTGATTACCTGAAGCCATCAGACAGTGACACTCTGGAGGACTAGCGTCCGTTGCCCACCCATCCGGCCAGCGTCTGGGAACCTGAGCATGAGCCCCACCAATGGTTTTGCCTTTGTCTCTCCAGGCCTGGTCCAGATCCCTGTGAGTATGTACCAGACTGTGGTAACCAGCCTCGCCCAGGGCAACGGACCAGTGCAGGTGGCCATGGCACCTGTAACCACCAGGATATCGGACAGCACAGTCACTATGGACGGCCAGGCTGTGGAGGTGGTGACATTGGAACAGTGACATGCAGCCGTATCATGGCATCGTTTTCTAGTCTACTTCAAAATTTTTTACACGTTTGCAGAGGTGCAATCAAATGGAATTAAGTCTCACGACTTTGGAAGAAAAGTTTTGTTAACCTTTTTTTTTTAAAAGGAAGAAAGGCAGCAGATTTTGGAATTGCATTTTTTTAAAGCACCACTCTTGATTTTCTGGGATTGGTGGAGTAAGAAACTGCATTGTCAATTTCACTGTCCCAAAAAAGCCAAATTGTGGCAGGACTTCTTTCTGCGGAAACGTGTGTATACTTATGTGTGTGTATGTGTGAGTGTGAATATATGTATATGTGTACATATGGACATACACATTTACATATATATATAAAATATATATATACATACATATATATGTATATATATGTATGAAACCCGCATGGAATTATCTGTATGAAATCAAGGTGAGCTGTGGAAACAATTATCCACCCAGTTTAGTGGGTGGTAGGGTACGTGGCCAGATACAGTCACCTGGTTTTTGTTCATACCAGGGTTATGCGTTGAGCTACTGACAAACTCAGGCAGAGGTGACCATGCCCTTCACCAAAGCTGCCTCCCAGTGGCCGCCCAGAACTTCCCTGCTGGACTCACTTGAGGAAGGAGGTTCCAAGATGCAGTGGGATCCAGAAAGTACTTGCAAGGTCCAGGGATCTCACGGTCCGCCAGCTGAGACACTCCTCGGGCTGGCCCAGGTGCTGACCTTGCCACAGGCAGGTGAATGTCCTGAAGCTCCCACCAGGGACATAAGGGTTTTCCTCAGCTTCCCATCTCCTCCATATCCCAGGAATCCTCCTTGATCTTATGACCATTAAAGAGTTGCTTTGGTCTTAAGGTCAGTCCTGAATTGGTCATGTATATGAACTGAAGGTAACAGAAGTAATAAGGGTCTGAGGAGTGCGTGCTAAGCGTGCTTATGGGTGTGCGCGCTAAGCGTGCTTATGGGTGTGCGCGTGCATGGTAGGGGAGAGAATGGGAAGAGGTGGAGGAGCTAGAAGGGAAAGGAGGAAGGGAGAAAGTCTTCATAGACCAGGGTACACCAATGGGAGCCATTTCTTTTCCTCTAGTTGTCATTTCTCTGCAATGAAAAGGGACACCTGGCTTAGGAAGGGTGGCCATCACAATGGGATGTGTCAGAAGAGAAAGGGTCTTCATACCTGGATCTGGCCCTGCTCTGGGAGTGGTTCTAAGAGGCCCATTTTCCTAGCTGCATCCTAGTGGCCCAGGCCCTGTGTGGCCCTCCTGCTCACAAGTGTGGATTGGTCTGGGTGTTATTTGTCAGTTAAATTCTGTCCTTCCCTAGCTGCAAGCCCTGAGTCTCCTGTGGCTACATTCACCCGACTTTTTGACAGGCCAAATCCCTGCTCCTTAAGTATAGGGATAACTCTTCCTTCCCCCTCCCATGTCCCCCCATGTGTGATAGTGTATTTAATGTTTTTTTTTTTTTTTTTTTTAAGCAACATTAAAAGATTCTTCATGTCTTGCTCAGCCTTTGAGAAAAGTTTCAGATTCTTGTATTTGCTTGTTTTATATAAAACTATCCAATGTTCTTTGTATGTTCTTTTCTGTACGTAATGGGTGGGAGGGAGGGAAGGGAAATTTACATATGAACGGTCCTAGTTCTAATTTGTTATTTTTTTAATTATTATTTTTTATCATCATTGTGAAGCTGTCCAGGGGCTTTAAAGTCCGTGTACCTTTGTGGTGAGATAACTTCCTAATAGTTTGAAAAATTGCCAAGAAGAAAAAAGCAAAATCCCAGTAGCAGAGCATGGATTCTGTGTTGTTTTCCATTCTGTCTATACTGCCTCATTCAATAAATAGTTAAAAATGTGGCAACAGGAAGTGGAACTGTTCATCTCTCTAGGAGCCCTTGACCTCTTGGGCAAAAGACTTGGCTTATGCTTCTCAAAAGGTGCTTGTACTCAGAGTCAGTGGTCTTTGTTCTACATGGCACTAGAGTTCCAGGAGGTGGTCAAGGCCAGATCAGGGGCTTCTGCCATCCCCAGCCCTAGCTCAGCTCCATTTCATTTAATGTGTTTTCTGTATAATGATGTTCTGGAAGAAAAATCTAGTTTGAAAAATACTAAAGATGGTTTGAAAGTCTTTATTCTGGAGTTCTTTTTATTTTTAGGGGTTAATTTGATATCCACGTTAAAAACCAACCTCCATCTTGGGAGGCTCTCTCACCACGAGCTCTAATACCTGAGTGGATTACCTTTCCCCAGCAGAAGCCCCAAGTCATGAATTATTTTCTTCCATCCTTCCTACCCCGTTTCTCACACAGTTGACTGACTTAATTTGGCAACTGCTGCCTTTCCAGTTGTGTCCTGCCCCATCCCCAGCTCAGGCCCAAGTCTCTACACCTTCCTGACTGTACTCACGGTGCCTCAGTCTGGAATGCCCTGTCCTGCCATCCCTCTTTTTGCTGTTGGATGTCTTGGTCAGGTTCCTGGTGATAATGATTAGAATAATTAAATGAGAAGGTCAAGAAGTATTTTCCTTGAAGCCTGACAGTGGTTCGGTAAAGCCAAGTACCCTCCCCACCACCTTCTTGCACAAATGGCATAGTGCCACCTATTTTCACCAGAGAGGATGGACCAGAAGGAGGAGTGATTACAGCCACCCAGGGAACAGCAAGGTTACCAATACACTTTCCTCTTCGGCCTGAGCCAGGCACTGCTTTCGTCACAAGCATTGTTAAAACTGTCTTTGGTGGATCTGAAAGAGACCTCCTCTTCTATTAGAGCCTAAGTCACCTACAGATGCTACAAACTGAGCTGCTCGGGCAGTCAGGTAAGTAGGTAAGTGCAATGGATGCAGCAGCAGCAGTTCAGATGGCAAAGGAGTGATGACACAGGCAGAGTGGAGAGCAGCCATCTTCGGTTTCATTTGGCAGTGCTGGCATTGAACCCAGGGCTTTGTGCATGCAAGGCAAGCAAAATGTACCACTGAGCCTCATCCCAGCCTGAAAGCATCTATCTAGAGCGGCAGACTCTCCTAAGTGCTGGCAGATCTTCCCTTCACAGGAAGGTGGGCCCTGCTGCCACATCTTCACAATTTTCCAGAGAATCTAAGGAACCCAGGTTTTTATATGAAATCTCTTGATTTCATCAACAATCAAAAATTGTTTACATGTTCTTCAGGTAAAATAAAGCCCATCTAGAGATCAGATCTAGCCTGAGGGTCAGTTTGCTTGACATCATAAATGCCTAGCTCATGCCAGGTGATTGAAGCATTTCAGTGGCCATGAAACAAGACAAGGAGACATCCGTATGAGCAAATTGCTGCCGCCCAGGGAGATGAGGGGACATCTGGACAGGGTGCCACAGAAGAAAGAATTCTATTGCCTCGTATCTCCTTCAGGGCCCTGTGAGTTAAGTCATCACCCAGGCTGCAAGCACAGATCTGCAAGCACAGGTGATGGTGGTGACCACTGGAGTCATCCAATCTTGAATGAATGAAAGAGGAAGGATACCATGCTGAGAAGAAGAGCTCAGGCTGCAGTGCACCCTGGGCCTCACTCAGGCCCAGCAGAGTGCTCTTCCTTTGTAAGGCCCCTAAAGCCTCAGCTGCTAGCATGGCAGAATGGATCAGGCTCATGGTGGGCCCTTTGGTGTTAGTACCAAAACTCATTAGAACAAATTGAGGGCTGGGGTTGTAGCTCAGTGGTAGAGCGCTTGCCTAGCATGTGTGAGGCAATCTGGTTCCAGCACTGTGCCACTTGATATGCTTTTCTTATGGTCTGTGATGGATGAAAGCAGAGGATATAAGAGCATTCGTTTATATTTCTTTTTCTTTTCACTTTTTTTTTATTGGTGCATTATAGTTGTACTTAATGGTGGGATTTGTTACATATTCATACATGCACACAATATAACAATATAATTTGGCCAATATCTCTCTCCAACACTCAGCTATATTTTTAAAATACTTAACCAATATTGGGAGAAAAAGCTAAGAAACCTCCTGCCCCATTTTAATGCACTTGCAAGTAAAACTGTTAACAGGGATAAGGATGTGGCTCAGTGGTAGAGGGTAGAGTGCCTAGCATGTGCACGATTCCATTCCCCAGCACCAAAAAAAAAAAAAAAAAAAGTGTTAAAATTTAAATTAACTGTCTCAACTAAAAATTCTTCTGAATTTATTCACAAACTAACAGTTATAGCTTCCCATTACTAAATGGCTGCTCTGCCTTTTACCATGTAAAATGTTTTATCTCCTTATTTCTTTTTTTTTTTTTTTTAGAATTATTTATTTATTTTTTTAGTTTTTTGGCGGACACAACATTTTTGTACGTGGTGCTGAGGATCGAACCTGGGCTGCACGCATGCCAGGCGAGCGTGCTACCGCTTGAGCCACATCCCCAGCCCTTATCTCCTTATTTCTAATCCTTTACAAAATCCTGTAAGGAGAGAGATTCCATCTTGCAGATGTGGGAATTCACACTCGGAATCATCCCCAAGTGCACAACTAGCAAATGGAGGACTGGAGTCATAACCTCAGGTGTCTGGCCCTGGCAGCTCTACTCTTTGTGCCAATCACTCAGGCAGATCACAGAAAACAAACTGCACATCAGGATTCTAAGTAAGCCTCCAGGTTTATCTTGAGCTCAGCCCAGGTGCAGCCCCTCCCAAGGTCAGTATGTTCTGGGACAGTCCTAGGGTTGTGCCACGATCCTTGCCCAGGGCTTGCCAAACCCACAGCAGCTGCTGCTGCTGTTGCTTCTTCTTCTTTTTTCTTTTTTAATATATTTTTAGTTATACATGGACACAGTATCTTTTTTTTTTTAATGTGTTTCTGAGGATCAAACCCAGTGCCTCACCTGTACAAGACAAGTGCTCTGCCACTGAGCCACAACCCCAGCCCATAGCAGCTGCTTATGAGCTAGGCCTTTTCATATCTGTATCTCCCCCTTCCTCCGCCCACCCCCACACACACAGCAGTTATGGCGGCAGGCACACACCTATAATCCCAGCAGTTTAGGAGATTGAGATGGGAGGATTGCAAGTTCAAGGCCAGCCTCCGCAACTTAGTGAAACCCTGTCTCAAAATACAAAATTAAAAGGCTGGGGTAATAGGGGCTGAGGTTGTGGCTCAGCGGTAGAGTGCTTGCCTAGCACATGGGAGGCCCTGGGTTCAATCCTCAGCACCACATAAAAATAAATAAATACAATAAAAGCATTGTGACCATCTACAACTAAATATATATATATAATTTTTTTTTTTAAAGGCTGAGGTAATAGCTCAGTGGCAGAGCACGCCTGGGTTCATTCCCCAGTACCAACACACATATACACAGACTTGAATGTAGCAGGAGCTCAACACATGGATGAGTAAACTGGTTTACTGGTGGTTCCTTAATCAGAAAATTCAGGGAGCCTAAAACTTATATTCCCACACATTTCCATTACTCAAGACCTCCACAAAAATCCACTCTTGGCAATCATTAAATAATTTGATGTAAAAATAATGTTTGTTTATTTGTTTTTGACTGCTGAGATGGAATGCAGGGTCTTGGGCATGCCAGGTGTGTACTCCACCACTGAGCTACACCCCAACTTCAATAAACTGGCCAGGTGCTATCCTACCAGGGGTGAAAGGTAGTAAAAATGTTGATGCCTCAATGTTACCTTATGTTGGTCTTTAAAAACCCCAAGGCCCAAATAAAAGATTGGTTAATGATGAGTAGCATTGGGCAAAGTTGTTGGATTGTGTAATGGTCAGTTAGGTCTAAGACCTAAACAGCCTTGCTCCTTTCTTGTGCCCTTTTGTAGAAGACAACTCTAAAGCTAAGGAGAATAATGAAATGATGGCATTTGCCAGTAAATGGATGGAGCTGAAGAATATTCTGTTAAGCAAAATAAGGCAATCCCAAAAAAACCAAGGCTAAATGTTTTCTCTGATATCAGGATGCTAATTCACAACGATGAGGGGGAGCCTAGGGAAAAATAGAGCTACTTTCAATTGGGTAGAGGGGTGTAACAGGAGGGAAGGGGGTAGGAAGAAGAGTAGAATGAATCTGGCATTACTACCCTATGTGCATATATGACCTCATGACTGGTGGGATTCTACATCATATACACCAGAAAAATGAGAAATCACACTCCATTTATGTATGATGTGTCAAAGTGCATTCTGTTGTCATGTATAACTAATTAGAACAAATTTCTTTAAAAAGTTTAACTCAAAAAAAGATGCCCAATTGAAAAACAAACTTTAGGGCTGAGGATATAGTTCAGTTGGTAGTGCTTACTTTGCATGCACTAGGCCCTGGGTTCAATCCCTAGCACCACAAAAAAGAAAAAAACAAAAAAACTTTAAAGCTGGAAGGATGTTAGCCTGCACCGGCTCATTCAGGCTGTGAAGGTTACAACCTGGAGACAGGGATGGGCCCAAGGCCACCTGGCTCTGCTCTCTCTCCTACTGGTCTTCTCCCCTTGCCTGAATATTTTAACTCACACCTTAAGTATCCTTACCAGAGCTATTTTGGAGATACCAATGTTTAAGTCAAAGAAATCAATCTATAATTTACGAGAATTTCCTGAAATGGGTGCAGAAAGCAGAAAACTGTGCCCCTCCCACACACACACTCAGTGCCAAGGATTGAACCCAGGGCCTCAAACACAAAGCGCAAGTGTTCTAGCACAGAGCTACACCCTCAAGCCCCTCCTTTCCCAACACCACATCACCCCTTTTTAGACCAAAAAAAAATTAACTCACAAAAGTTAAGGGATCCGGCTGGGGATGTAGCTCAGTTGGTAGAGTGCTCTCCTAGCATGCACAAGGCCCTGGGTTCAATTCCAGCACCACCAAAAAAAAAAAAAAATATATA